CAAACTAAGTGTTTTGCTCTCGCTATTTTTTTAACTACACTTGAACTCACTAAAAAAAGAGCAAACTAAGGCAAAGAAASGAGGTAAGCCTAACGAAATCCAAAAAAATAACAGTAACGTTTCAGTTATGTCGTATAAGAGCCACATTATAATAATTATAGTATAACAAACATGACAATGAGAAGGGGAGGCTTCAATTTTTTCTTTATACTGCAAATAAAGGTGTTTTTATGCAGTTTAAATCACTAGTCGACTTTATAGAGGGAATCTAAACGCTGGATATCGCAAAATCCAAGGAAATGATAATCTTTAATAATGTTACTCGTTGGATGTGTAATTAACTTTCAGTACAGAATCTTGATGATTTTAAAATTAGTTATTTTTCTTACCTTCTCTAATTGTCCTTAAGCTTTTTTATAGTTGTAATGACAGGTAACACAGTTTCAGAMTATTCATTAAACACGGGCCAACACATTATGCATTTTACTCTTGTCCTCAGCCAATGAGCATCAAGTATTTTGATGCCTTAAGAACACTGGCTAAATTTACTCGTTCACAACCAATCACCTTCTAAACCACGACTTTTTTTTTTACTCGATTCGGTAATTATTACCGGTATTTGTCACCATATGTTCACAAGTTTCGCGTAAATKTATTCACAAGCTCGATTATTTTTGACACCACTTTAATGTTTAATGCCGTTTAATATGATATTTGAGTTGATATCAAATTGATATTGTGCAGTTTTTGTTCACACACAAAAATTGCTACAACATTCCCTTAAGACGAGGAACGACCGAAAATCTAAAATCAACATATTCGATTTCAAAGAAATTTGATTGTTTTGACTTTACTCGAAATAAGCGTTTGCGTGTGTAAAAGTTGTATAAGTGACCAAGTAAAGTCGAGCGAATTGGYACGACGGTTTTGTAAAGTTCAAAACTATACACCCTTTAATAAGTCCCGAGGTATTGTGTTCTCCGCACTTGACGTCAAATTAATTTWCTCGAATTYCTTTTGTCGGTAAAAATTTCAAAAGAATAAATTTGACGTCAAGTGCGGAAACTGAACTCAATATCTCGGGACTTATTAAAAAGGTGTATACGCGTCGGTGTTTCTGAAGAAACAGTTGTATYGAAAAGGATAAATTTAACACCGTAAAAAAGTAGGTGAAACAACTAACTGGCGTTTCGGACGTTAATCTTCCGTGTTTACTCCGCCGAAGGATTAACGTCCGAAATGTCAGTAAGATGTTTCAACTACTTTTTTACGGTGTTAAATTTATCTTTTTTTAACACAACTATAAACTAATATGCCTAAAATGCAGTATTCCAGCTGCTGCAATATCGTTCAGCAGCCGTAAATTTCTACTCTCATGCAGATGTAATCCCTCCATTCCGTGACGATGATTCTGACTTGTTGGGCCACAACCTTTTCTCTAAGCGTGTTGGTGACTACAGTGTTGCGATCGGTATTCCCACCAAATACCTATATGYAAGAAAAGATTTTAAAATCAATAGGAAGTTTGGAAAAGTCTTTTGCAAAACTTTGGAGGGTGGCTATTTGGGAAATTTCGGGGAGAACTATAGTACTCCTTGGGTAAACTATGTCAATTGCTCTTTGCTGAAACTTTTAGTGATACTTCAGAGAACACTACTTTGTGGAAACTTCTCGGTTAACACTTTGGGGAAACCCGGTGAACACTTTGTGGAAACCCGGTGAACACTTTGCGGAAACCCGGTGAACACTTTGCGGAAACCCGGTGAACACTTTGCGGAAACCCGGTGAACACTTTGCGGAAACCCGGTGAACACTTTGCGGAAACCCGGTGAACACTTTGGAGAAACTTCGGTGAGACTCTTTGGGGATTCTTCAGCGAATATTGTTTTGGGAATCTTTGTCACCCGTAAAGCCCACAAATGACGCAAGTTAACACGGGTACTTCAGTATCTTAAATTCATTTCTCTTCATCTACAACGAAAATGTCCCAACACAACAAGATGAAGTATCTGTTAGTTTAGGGGTGTATTACAAAAGGTGAACACCATCTTCCTCTTCAACGCCAATCTCGAGATGCTTAGACCTTGATTTTTGGTACTAAAATCTTTAACAATGAATACGAACGGATTTATGAATTCAAAGTACTGGGGTTTACCTTAATAATACCGCTTTCTCGATAATCCATCCATTGTGTATCCAACCGCTTGTAGGCCAAACGATATTTCTTGACATACTGATTATAACTATAAGAAGGTCTTCCTTGAGTTGCAACTTGCKTTAACGTCACAGGTCGACCCATATCAATCTGTAAGTACTCGCCTGCTCGCAAAGCTGCAGGACACCATACCGCATGATTTGGAGTTCCATCGGAGTTCGTCGATACTTGTTTRTGGAGACGAGCATTCCAGCTGATATGTTTATTTGATAACGTGGAGGATGCAGTGATTGCTGAGTTTGGAATTGTATTTGATTGCATACCGAGTGGTGTGGTGCAAACTAGACAAAACAGTGAGATCAAATTACTTTTATCTGAAAGGTAACACGCTGCCAATCACTTCTGTGAAGAAAGACATAGATTTTGAATTGTATTTTCTGAGCAATTGAAAACTCAAATGAAGTTACGTCAACAAAGGAAGTGGCCCTGGTTTTTTTACATTGTTATGTTGTTCTTGGTTGAAAAGCTCAAATCATCAATCATATATAGTAATAATTCAGAGCTGAAAATCCTTTTTCCAATGTAACAAAAAGAATAAAGTCCTCTTTCATGTAGTAGACGTCACTTCATTTGCATTTCCTAAGTTTCAATTGCCCATAAATTAGAAAATACAATTTAAAATCAAATTCTTTCTTCACAGATGTACTTAGCAACATGTTCTCTTTTGGATGAGAATGAATCTCTGATGGTGTCATGTGCACTTTTAAACTAAATTAAGCTGCCTCGGTGTCTCTGCTAAATGCTACAGTTTGATCAMTTGAAGTCCTATATGTCTTTTCCATATCATTCACCTTTGCATTCGTAGTTCTTCMCATCATCTTTTATAAAGCAAGCATGGTTCGTACTGCAGTATTGGTCACTACAAGCGTTCATTGGACGTTGATAGYTGACCACGTGACTGTACACTCCATCTGAATCRTGGGTAAGGTCRATGGGMYTTGTAAWGTGGTTYTCTTTGCTGAGTTCGCACTTSTGATGTTTAGGGTAGAAATTRATACTGYAGCATTCATTATGCGATGCACATTTCTYCTCGCAATAGCTTYGGGTCTGTGATTGCAGCTCTTGAATCACGTGATTTTTAAGCACGAAGGAATTCTGGGWAAATGTAGACGAACATGGCGATTGTACAGAAGCTTCRGCTTTAAGCATCAGTTGAAACKCCGCAATAATCAAMATTTCTATCAGCATTTYGGGCGAATTCAGCATCAATTTCTGATTCTGGGTCAATAGCTAGAAATTTTGAAAGGGAGTCTGTTAGATTTGAATACTGCTTTAGTTTATTTTTCATCGCCAATAAATCATTCTAGTTAAAAAACAACATATCGAATTGAAATCACGCACGAAGAAAGAAAACAAGAAATAYATAAAAGGAACATAAACAAACAAACGGAGGATATTGTAGAGAATGGAATTTTATGCGTTATATAATTACGAGAGGCATTTTTTGTTTGGCAAGTATTAGTAGTATAGACTGGTTTATTAAGGAAAACCTTGCATTAAAACTACTGAATTGCATTAAGCTTTACAAAATTTAAATCTATGAAATCTACAAAATATTCGTACTAAAAATGAAAAATACGCGAAAGAAAGCTAGTATATAGTACGTTAAGATGAAAAATTCGCGACCTCTGCTCATCGCACAATTAAAGTGTTTCTAAACCGCTCGATATTTAAAGTTGGCATCCTAAATTTCCTCGATTTACTTGGTAAAAGGCGACAGTTTCCCTGCTACCAGAGTCTCTCTCGTTGTAGAATCCTTATTTACTGAGGATAGGGGGATATACAGTTTAATCATTAACTCACCTTCAGATTAAATCTTCAAGATGTCAAAGATGCGAACAAACTCGTATCTTGTGAGAAAATCGACATCCACTTGTTTTACTATGGTAACTTATGAAAGATAATGGTAATGCTTTTAATTAATTGTACTAAGAGCACCAGGATTCACAACAAAGCCAGAAAAATTATGCATTTTTTATAATTTTAATTTTAATGTTACTACTTTAATCATCGCATTATAGGACATTTATCACATGCAATGCTTCTTCATCCTTTAGAGGCTTATTTCATCTTGAAAAGCTTTAGAAGTCAAGAGGAAATAAAATCTCTCTCGCGCGTTAGAGCTAATGCCGGCCTTAATTGCTATAAACACCTGGACTGCGCTTAAGCCAAATATTGCTGAGACTCAGTCGGAACACTTTAGGACAAAAGGTTTCATTCACAAATGTTTTGATATGTATTGCAAATATAGTTTAAAGATAACTGAACCCTTTTAGAAAATCATTTTAAAAAAAGGCAAATTTGATGCTAATCATTGTCTTGAAGAAAAAAAAGTTGTTTGAATTCTATTTGCTGAGTTAAWGGCATTTGAAAATTGAAAATGCTAATGAAGTGACGTCAATCAAGGGATTGRGCTGGAGGTTTTTCATTGTTTGCGATATCTTGTGTTCGGTTGAAACGGTCAAATCATCAATAACAGTGATATTCAAGAGCTGGAAATGTCGAAATGTCGATGGCATCTCCGATATAAAAAACGAGTAATGTCTTTTTTTCGTGATTTTGCATATTGAATCATTCCTTAGTAGACGTGCCTCACGATTTTCAAATATTTCTAAATCAGAAGATATAAATTTGAATGTTTTTTCCCTTTGCAGAAGTGCTTAGCAGAATRTTCTCTTTCGAATGAAATGACTTTCTAGAAGTGTTCARTTTCACTTTAAAACACCTGAGAGAGTGCACTRTCAGGTATAAAAATTCGAGCCGAAGGCGAGTGTCATTAGAGTATATGCACGCAATCGCAATATACGCTAAATATATATATTCAACCAACATGGCCGCCGGTMTTTTATATTTYTAACCTCATGAGAATGATTGAAAACGAGCAATGGTTGAGCRCTGCACTATATATTGTAATGAATGATGAYTCTTTATTGGTATTTTTGTTTCGATTGTTTCAGTCATACGGAAGACTCTTTAAGTTTTCCTGGATGTGTGTTTAAGAAAATCTGCCAATTTTTTATCGTATTCATTAACTTTATCATTCATTATTGTAATGCAGTTGGCATGCAAGGGATTCTGGAACTGCACATCAAGGCATTCAAACCTCTCGAAAAATGGAAACAATGATCCAAAACTGTGGAAACGAGCGGTAAACTAGTGTGAGCTGCGTCGGTGTTTCCAAAGAAAAAGTGCTGAAAAAAGACAAATTTTTAAAACACCGTAAAAAATCAGGGTCCGTGCAGGTCCTTTTAAGGAAAAAATCCTTTAAAATTACTTGGACAGAAAACTCGTTTTCAAGGGCACTTGAAACTCCTTGAAAATTTCGAAAACGTCCTTGAAAACTCCTTGAAAAAGATAAATCTCCATCACGAAGTGCTAGCGTTCTCTGAATTATTCCGTTCGGCTGAAGTTGTGAGGTATAAATATGTACAATTAGCATATTTATAATTTTCCTTGAAAATACAAATTCCTTAAATTTCGGTTTTGATACTCTGCACGGACCCTGAAAACTAGGTGAAACAACTTGCTAAGAGGTCTACTGACAATTCGGACGATAATCCATTTCTTTTTACACAACAGAAGATCCAAAAGCCCTGTGCAACAAAGTCATATATACAAGATATATCCAAACACTTCATAAGATTTTTTGATTTTTTGTTCATTCTTTTTTTATCACTCAAAACACTAAATTTTCTTTAACTTTCTCACAATTTCTATGGTGGACTGACGTTTCGAGTGAATAAGTGGAATAAGAGAGCTTTTTTTTTTGCTTAAAAGCATGACTTTCATGGCAAACGGCAGAAAAGATCATGTAATCTGCTTTTTTGGGGTTTACCGTTACAGTTTCAACGCGAGAGTGGGTTATTTTGGGTTGCCATAATCKTGAAAAGTCGCTCTTTCAAATAACTACCAAAAGCTCAGGGCCAGGCACGAAATTCTCAAGTCATTCGTTTAGCTATGCCGTCAGACGTTGGCCGTAAAGGTAATGCTTAAACTTTCARTAATCTAATGTGCATAGAAGGCATTATATTCCAGTCAGCAACCGTAGATTTCTACTCTCAAGCAAATAAACCGGTWCCATTCCATACCAATGATCCTGACGAGTTGGGCCACAACCTTTTCTTTAAGCGTATTGGTGACAACAGTGTTGCTGTCGGTATTCCCATCAAATACCTTTATGTAAAGAAAATTTTTTGGAAGTTTGGACTAGTCTTTTGCAAAAATTTGGAGTGCGGTTATTTGGGAAATTTCGGGGAACACTTGTAGCCCTTGGGGAAACTGTGAAAATTGCTATTTGGAGAAACGTTTAGTGAATACCTTAGGTGATATTTTGGAAATCTTTGACACCAGTCAAATTAAACCTTCTTGAAAATGCGCAAGTTAGCACGGGTACTTTGTATCTTAAAGTTATTTGTCGTCCTCTACAACGAGAATGCCCCGGCACAATAGGATGAAGTATCAGAAAGTGTTCATGAGCAAACTCATGGTGGAGATTTTTAGAACTTAAGGTCTCAGCATCTCGAGATTGGCTTTGAAGGGGAAGATGATAATTTATGATTTGGAAATACATGTGGGTTTACCGACACTGGTGAAAAACGAACTGCGCATGCCCACAGCTTTCCCGCCAATGGGCGCTCAAGTCTTGAAATCTGTAAACAGAGCGCCTGGCGATTTACACAGAAAACACTACGAAAAACCTCATTTTCTCAAAATAGAAATGACAAGATAAAAATAGAAACTACATACTAAAAGGACCTTATATGAACAATGATTGATGGAAATATGAATCTTATATATCGGTGAACGAGCTTATAAATTGTAAAAAACTTTCACAAATATCGCTTTACAAAGGAAATTAGGCAGATTTCAGCGGGAACAGTGGACATGCGCAGTGCGTTTTTCACCAGTGTCGGGTTTACCTTAATAATTCCATTTTCACGATAGTCCATCCACTGTGTTTCCAACCGCTTGTAGGACAAACGATATTTCTTGACATAGTGARCATAACTGGAAGAGGGCCTTCCTTGGGTTGCAACTTGCTTTAACATCACAGGTCGACCCATATCRATCTGTAAGTATTCACCAGCTTGTYTGACTGCAGGACACCATGCTCCATGATTTCGACTTCCGTCAGGGTTTATCGATTCCTTTTTATGGAGACGAGCATTCCCGCTGGCATGTGAATTTGATGCCGTGGAGGATGCATTGATTGCTGAGTTGGGAATTGCATTTGATTGCATACCGAGTGGCGTGGTGCAAACTAGGAAAAACAAAGAGAGATAGCAAGTTTTTAAAAAGTAGATTAAGCTGCCTCGGTGTCTCCTTTAAATGACACAATTTGATCCCTTGAATTCGTATATCTTTTCCATATCATTCACCTTTGCATTCGTAGTCCTTCCCATCATCCTTTGCCAAGCAAGCATGGTTCGTACTGCAGTATTGGTCACTACAAGCGTTCATTGGACGTTGATGGTTGATCACGTGACTGTACACTCCATCTGAATCATGGGTAAGGTCAATGGGACTTGTAAAGTGGTTTTCTTTGCTGAGTTCGCACTTGTGATGTTTAGGGTAGAAGTTAATGCTGTAGCATTCATTATGCGATGCACATTTCTTCTCGCAATAGCTTCGGGTCTGTGATTGAAACTCTTGAACCACGTGATTCTTAAGCACGAAGGAATTCAGGGTAAATGTAGACGAACATGGCGACTTCACCGAAGCTTCAGCTATAAGCATTAGTTGAAACGATGCAATAATAAAAAATTCTGTCAGCATTTCGGTCGAATTCACCATCAATATCTGATTCCGTGTCGATAACTAGAAATTTTGGAAAGGAATTATCTTTTAGATTTGAATACAGCTTAATGGCTAATGTCTATTTTGATTACTGAAAGCTGTCAATTGAAGATCTTCATGGCAGCTAACTTAATATAAACTGCAGGTTTTTTTCATGTTACAAAAGGACGTAGCAGTAAGACTTGAGATAAGATTTTAAAGAATGTAATTTCATGCGTTATTCAACAGTGGTATTTTTTTGTTTGTCATTTCAATCGCCAAAAGGAAATATAGTTATCATAAGAGAAAGGCACAAAACTATTTATAATTTTTATGAATAATAATTTTGTGCCTTTCTCTTATGTTAAAATTTTTTGTTTGTTTGGCTATTCTTAGTGGGTTTCATGTGACGTCACAAAGTATATATTCTCTAGTATGTATCCTATGTTGATGTATACTATATATGTTATAACTAACTATGGGTATAAAAAAGATACAAGAACAAAAATGAGTTTTTACCACATATGATAATTTTCTCGCTTTCTGATTGGTCGATAGTCTCTTTCAACAGCCGCGACTTCCGGTCTCGTCAAATTTCCAACAGTCGCGACTTCCGGTCTCGTCAAATTTCCTCACCAAAAGTAACGGCTGTTTACCCAGGCGCAAAATTCCTTTCCCTTTGATTGACCAATCATGGCTTGTCTCCTGAAAACCAGGAGCCGTTCGCGCCATAATAAAACATGATAGTTGTTATTGCAGCTGCGAAATTTAAAATTAGAGAGTTAAACGACCATCAAAAGAATGCTATTCTCGAGTTTATAGTATATACAGAGGAAATTTGACGAGACCGGAAGTCGCGGCTGTTGAAAGAGRCTAATTTGGTCGAGAGCCGTGGTAAATAAAAGYACATACCACGGTCGTAACTTTGCTCGCGATTAACTTTGATATTTTAAAAAACAATGGACTTTCACGACTTTTCTGGCATTGGAAATTTAATTCCTGTCTGGGCAGACAAGGAGAAAAAAGTATGTATCAAGATTTGTTGAAATAAATGTTTTGGTTCAGTTTGAAATGAGATTTCAGTTGTTCTTTTCGCTTGCAAAACGCGCGCAGTACTGGTAAAAAAAATATTTGTGGTAAAAAGCAAATTCACGATAGTTTCGCATGGTATGTCCTCTTATTTACCACAGTTGGGATCATCTATTCGTCTAGGTAGATTGTTGTAGATCTACTCGACTTCGACTCGATAGTTTCGCGTGGTATGTCCTCTTATGCACTAGTCAATTGAAACCCCCGCCCCCCGAACCCCGGGACTAGCGGGGCACTGAACGGGGCAGTGACGCGTTTTTAACGTGCTTTTACAACAAGATTGGCACCGGGGGTAGGGATTTTAACGAATTGTTTTCGCAGCGGGGCAGCGAACGGGGATCTTAACGCTCGTTTGAATATATAAGAGCCTGGAAACTAGTGGTCGGCCATTTTRAAAAATACCCAGAAAGCATTGGTATTCCAACCACAGGCAGCCCATCCCATGTGTAAATCATAATTATTCTTTCGCTGCAATGTCTACAATGGGGAAACGAAAGGTGAGTCAAAAAGCGTATTTTTATTGAACAAATTCAGAAACATTAAAGATCTTATACATGATATTTTGCCATTGCTGTATTTGTAAAGGTGTTAAAGGGGCCCCTTCAGGAGTCGAGTAGATCTACAACAATCTAGCTAGACGAATAGATGATTCCAACTGTGGTAAATAAGAGGACATACCATGCGAAACTATCGTAAATTTGTTAAGTCAGTATACAACTTTTTGGTTCTCGAGTTAAAGATTGAATTGTGTCACGCAAACTGTCACGAACCTATAAAAAACAATTACAATTTGATGTGCATAAAATATTTTGCCTCATATATATACATTGTAATGAGTGCAAAAATGTTATAACGAAATATATCAAAAAAGAAAAAATTATGTTGTTTTGTAAACCTTTGAATCCAGACGGTGATCAGGTTGACCACTGTCTGGATTTCCGCCATACATTTTTACCAAATTTTGCGTATCTTCGATTGCTAATAATTCCGCAACCAAGCGCTCTACAATCCTAAATTTTTGTCAAACTATGTAGTTTTTATGCTACAAAATGACATGAATGCCATGTTTTATGCGAGTAAAATAAAATTTGTGATTACGTAACTGCAACCCAAGAATTTAGAAAAACATTGCAGTAAAATTACTGAATCGCGTTAAACTTTACAAAATTTAAATCTATGAAGTCTACGATATATTTGTAACTCCCTAAAAATTAAAAATATGCGAGTATGTTAGTAGTGCGTTAAGATGAAGAATTCGCGACCGCTGCTCAGCGCACAATTAAAGTGTTTCTAAAGCGCACTCTAATTTAATGTTGATATCCTAAATTYCCTCGATTTCCTTGGTAAAAGGCGACAGTTTCTTCCCTGCTAGAGAGTTTCTCTCGTTGTAGAATTCGTTATTTAGTGAGGACAGTGTTTAACTCACCTTTAGATTTCTTTTACATGTTAAAGATTGTACAAAGATTGATAGATTGTTCTTGTATCATGGTGGACAGCCATCCAAGTAGTCAGTTATGAAAATTAACGCTTGTAATTGTAAAGATTACAAGGATTCACATCATAGCCAGATAATATGCATTTTTTATAATAGTCTTAATTTAAAACAGAATCTATATAGAACAGTGTGGTGTGTTTTTAATTATCTGTGCGACTGCAGGATAAATAATAATAATAATATGAAAACTTGTATAGCTCATATACAAGTGTGTTCTATGCGCTCAGGTATAACAAAAACAAAAAAGCAAATTAAACTCTAAAAGCTAAACTAAACAAATAAGTTTTAAGTTCTTTCTTAAAGGACAGCAGCGAGTCAATGTTACGTAATTCAGATGGGAGAGAGTTCCATAAAGTAGGGGCGACAACAGAGAAAGAGCGAGAGCCATATGTTTTAATCGAGTAAAGTTTAGCAGACAGAAGTAGTTCTTTAGAGGACCGGAGCGTTCTTTGATCGTCACATTATTGAACATTATTATCACATGCAATACTTCTTCTTTCTTTACAACTTTTTGCATCTTAATAAAAAGCGAAAATATTTTTGTCAATTGAAGATATTCATGGCCGCTAACTTATATATAAATGTTTATAAAATTTTTGAKATRTATAACGGGCGCTCTGATTTGCTGACGACCGTGTTTATATCAGAAGACAAAGACACGGCTTACCGGCAAAATTTGTTTTWYGCTCCAAAAACGCAAACAAATTTTATAAAAGAACTATAAAGCGACCGCTTGTGTCTCTGTCCTCTGATATAAACACGGTGGGAGTTGAAAAACACGAGAGAATCAAATTTAGAAACACGAACATAGCGTGCCGCGCGCCGTTTTACATTTCTTAAATAAATATGGATATTTAAAATTTAAGGCTAGGAGGAGACGATGTGTTCCCGGGAGAAATATATCTGTTCTTATGTCCCAGCCAGCTGTAAGTCACAACTGGTTGCCAGCGAGAAATTCAAGAAAAAAGAACTCTCCAGGCAAGGAATACTTTCTTAGAACGTTTTTGTTTAAAGTAAAAACTTCCAAACTAAAAACCCATAAAAACGTTTGACTGGAAAAAAATTCCTTAGGACCAAAAAAGCATTGTAATAACGTTATATAAACCTTTTTTGACCTTTTTTGATGTTTACCCTGATTTTGAAGACTTTTTATGCTAGGAACAAAATTATTTTAAAGAAGGAAGAGCGCCACATTTGCTTGTGAGATTGTCAACATGTAGCTAAAAATCAGTTTCCCAGGAACATTTTCGTTCAAAAACAGTTATTTAAAAGAACAGACCCCGTCGGCTCCTCCTGATCTACAAATTAAACTTATTAATATTAATATAAAACTGCAATAAATATAAATTTAAATTATTCGAATGATGATTTGCGATCTGTTTTAGCGAAAAAGCGAAAATAACTATACTAATCACATATTTTTACTGAGTTTGTATAATCGTTATGAACAAATATATTTGCCGAACAGTCGAAATGTTTCAATTTTAAACTTATATACATATGTATATAATAACGAAGAGGCTATGAATCATTAAATACTGTCTGATGAGTGCGTAAGCACGAAACTTGTAGTAACAGCAAATCTTGCCTCTTCGTTATTTATATATAAAATACATGTTACTGAATAGTTCTAAAGCCAAACATGGATACAACCACGTATTTGGTCCACGGATTCTTTTCTATTAAATATCATTGTGTAGTTTACACTTAGAGTAGTTCATTACCTGCGAGTGGGTCTTATAAAGACTAGACCCCGGGTACTAGACATGGTCTATCACAAGAAAGAAACTGAGTCATTATAGCAACTAGCTTCATAGTTTACTTCAACTTTCGTCCTTGATATCTATATGTTTGTGCATCAATCCTCTTCAATTTTCAGACAAAGTACTTTCTTCTAAGTTTTCCGAAGTTGATATAGGTATGCAACTTAGAAAGTCTGGGATTAATATTGCGTCAGATTCGGTGATAAACAACCCATCTCATAATATCTTTCTATTTTTATGGTTTAAGCGTCTAAGAAATCGTTTTGGGATTCTACTGGGCTTACGAGTATGATTAAAACGTAACTATATGTCCATAATACACAAACCTTGAATAACGAGATCTTGTAGTACTTCTTGTAATCAGCTTTATTGTAGCTTCTGCATTTGTATGAGATATATAAACATTAAAGGCAGGATCTGGGCCAGGGATTCGAGCCAGGGATCCGAGCCAGAGATCATTTTTTTTCTTAAATTACAAACATAATGAAATTAGAATAAAAGTTCCTTTTTATCAATCCCTGACTCGGATCTTTGGCTCGGATCCTGACACTTGAAATAGATAGCCTGTCATTGTACCATAAACATTAAAATAAATAGTTTTATCTAAGATATCACAACCACTAAACAATGAAGTGACGTGACAATAGTTTGAGTTTGAGTATAGTAGTCGAAGTATTGGACTATATTTCCCCTTCGCAGGGCGCCACTGTAAAAAAAATCATACATTGGCTTCATTACCTAAAGATATTATACATAACGCATTAATCTAAACGTCCATGACAAGGTTTGTAAAAATACTTATTGGTTACCATGTTTCGAACTTAAAAATCGTGTCGGTGTTTTTTGATTTTTTTCTATTTTCTTTCTTTTTTTTTTGCGAATTTATTGCATATGAATTTCAAAGTACAAAATCTTGATGTGAAATTTGATATTTGACGCCGGCCATAACTTCAAGAAGTCTAACAAATAGCTGCCACAGCCGTCGCTGCCCCACTGGCCGGACCTCCAAGCAAATTCTTAAAAATAGCCGAGCAGACGTTTTTCACTCTAAACTAAATTATCATCATTTTTGGTTTTTCAGACATTTTAAATCAGTTAAAAGATAAAATAAAATAAAAACAGTTTGTAGTTTGTAGACAYATTCTTTTATTTGCTATCATTGGCTTAACTTGCTTACATTTATATTCTTAGGATATATGAGRTAGAATAAAATGCCTTCATTTGTGWTYCTTYGTGAACAACTCTGCCAATTTCTTATTGTACTCGTTCACTTTATCACACATAGTAGAAATGCACTSGGRARGCAAGGAATTGTTGATATYTATGWCTTGGCATTCAAACCTCTTWAAAAAATTAGTKATCTTTKCCATTTCGACGCCAACGTCGAGGTCAAGATTTTTCTTTTTGTAATTATTAARCCAATGCTTCGCAATCGCTTCCGGGTCCTCGCTGTCATTGCCTTCAAAAGAGACAAACTTTGCATCCAACTTTGTTAAAGTCACGCCTTGGCCGTCTGGAGTTTCACATTTTCTAATACGCTCTGCTAACATTTTCATGGCAKCAAGCATTCTCCACATGTATTTGCTCATCTTAGGAAGGCAAAATTYGAGTTTATTCRAGAYGCAACCGTTGTGGTTGTATTCTTTGAGTGTTTCACCCCAATTCTCTATCATGGAGACCCATAAGTCAATCATTGGGAGTTTATCAACGGAATAGTCGGGGCACTCCATCTGCAAGCCACCGACAATGTGGCGGATAGCGCCTCGGGTATGGTACGCTTCAGCCGCATAAATTTCAGCTACTGCAAGGYTCTCTGAAATAGCGAAAAAAAAGCAYKTGGGATGAGCTCAAAACTCGATTAAAAACAGTCAGCAATCGGCAAATTTCGAGCCGAGTTAAATCTACCCCAGGAAAGGAGTTCGCCCACACCTTTTCTTGGACTTATCCGGCAACTCCTTGAAAACAGTGTGTTATTTAAAACTATAAGAACATAGGTTTTCAAACATATTYCAATGCGTATACCTAGGTTTATCTYTGCWTYATCAAYRTATCCTCCTCTATYGCWTATTTCTTTCAACTTGCTCTCGTATACGCGGTTATGTCTTTCTCGAATGTTTTCGCCCTTCAACGAATTTTCTTCGTTTTGCTYACGAAACTTCTCTTCCCATTCATTGAACCCTTGAGCAGCAGTGTGCTGTAAGGTGTCTTTAGCGGTATCCATTAGCTTTTTGAAGAACGGTTCATCGTATTTATACACCTAGAAGAGTKCATGGGAAATATGTTAAGCAATAAGTTATAATTCGTGCCTTACAGTTTATGTTATTCCTTCTCTATTTTTTTTCCTTCTCTTTTTTTTCTTCTTCTCTGTTCTTCTAGCTCAAAMCCGCACTTCTTGTAAGGTCTAACTCTCTCTGCTCTATACATTTCGTTTTGTAGTCCCGTCCGAAAGTCTTCGTTATTTTGCTCTATCCAACTTAAGCTTTCAAACAATGTACATCAGTTATTCACACCTTATAGTAAGCGCTARCAAGCTCTTCCATTTTGAACCGCACTTCGTWTTGYTTCTCAACAACGGACTTTGCAAASTTTTYTGGCAGACCAWWGAAGATCTGTGGCATAGCGTGCTCAAGCGAGTAAGCGTACACATTCGTATCAAAAACTGTCTCTGAGGTTTTCTTGAACGTGCCCTCAAAATAGTCGTTGAACTTCTTTACAAGATTACCCGAGTCTTTTCCGATTAAACCCACGTCATGATCTGACGTGCAAGTGGCAGAACCTGGGGGTGATGGATAGCACACCGAATCAGGAATTTCAGTCTTGCCTCCGCCCAACGTCTTTTGACAGCGAATCAGTTTGTTGTCACTTTCCTTCCTTAAAATATAAGTGACTAAAAGATATCTCGCCGCGGCGATGCAAAGAAGTCGCTCACAGGTCTTCTTYCCATCTTTCTCAGTAATGAATTCTGCTTTTGTTTGGACCCAGTCTGAATTGCGTTGGAAAAATGCAAGTGCCCTTTTCGCAGCGTCTTCAAATTCGGCTTTTCCCAGGTGTTCAGAAAAGTCGCCTTGGCTTTTCCACTCAAGTTTACTGTCATCCATAACGAACCCATACCTATCAGCGATATGTTCCTTAAACCATACAATATCATTACCGTTTGGTGTTCCATCAGACCTGCAATAGCAAAGCGTAAATGTATTCTTGGTGAGATCATAACGTCATAGATATCTGAAATTTCTCATTTTGCTTTAATAYAAAGAGTAAGCAATTTCAAAAATAAAATAAACTCTTTTGGTTGTTGTTTTTGGTCAGCATATACAAAATGGAAATAATGGAAAGTTATAGTGCTTAGAAGCTTAGAAGGAGGTTATTCCGGGCGAATGACACTTGGAAATAAATATGTTCTGAATAATCAATTTCCGACCTATTTCATATTCATATCTTTATCGCCATATACATTGTTAATTGCCATCCAGCAATACCAGAGTGATGAAAAAGACCTAGTGTACCTATACATCTTATTCATACTTACGTAATAACAATGTTTGTTGGGTCATTGAAAGTTGTAAAACTTGAAGGTGATGGTAGTTCTGTTTGAAGGCCYGCTCCGGTCTGCTCAGGATATAAATCTYCTGCTTGGGCCTAAATACCATATGAAAAAATAATCTTGAAAAGACGGATACTAAACCTTATTGCAATACTGTTCACAATAGTGCAAATCAGATCCAACGCTAAATTGTCTTTTCTGTCTTTTGGTGTTTTTGTCTTCCATCATCAATAAAATTAAGCACCGTAAATTAAGATAAGAGAAACACTAAAAGGAAACACATTATGATCTACAACATATGATTATTTGACATGAATTTTAAAGGTTTTTAGTCTATAATAATTTTTGTACGATTGATACTAGCATGGGTCCTGGAAAACCTGCGGAAATTTTTGTCTAGGGACAGTAGTATAGAAAGTCATTGAAAATATTCTTGTTTGACATCGTATTATCATGACATCTATTTCCTGAACAAATATTTGCATAAATGCATCATACTTAATGARCTTGGTACTATTGTGCAAATTTCAGTAACAACCGCAAAGCTATTTGATTCTTAAAGCATTAATTTTGACTAAGAAAAGATAATACAATAGAAGTATAGATATAGAGGATATTACATGGACGCGCGGAGATACTAATTTTATCTTCGAGTGTTTAATCAATATCTCACGAGTGAGCGTAGCGAATTTCTAAGCGGCAATGTAATGTTCTATTTATTATATACACATCGACGATCTATCTATCTATCGATCTATAAATATTGACAAAATGTTCCAAAAAAAATGTATCACCATGCAAACAGTGATATCTTCACATGTGAAAGATATGATATCTTTTCATGGTTCACTGAGATATTGCATTTTCACAACTAGAGAAAACCTGGTATCTCATCGATATGTATATAATAAATATACATATCAAATCCCTGAGAAATTTTTAAATGTGTTAGGTTCAAARTTACCTGTTTTTCGAGGCAGAGGAGGCATAACATCATTAGAATAAATATACCCATGATTTTGCTCCTGTCAAACTGGGAATTAAAAGATAAGAAAACCTTTGAACAACTTTTGTTAAAAAAACTCCCGACCCCGTTTTGGATAGGTACGTGCCGCCAGCGGTCTAAATCCCTGACCCTGTTTAAGACACTAAAAAGTAAAAATCCATACCCTGTTCAAGACAAATCGGAAAAATAAGGAATAGCTATCTACGCCGCAACCATCAAAACTGCAATTATACTGACATCCATCAAAGACAATAAGAAGTTTTTGATAACACGTTAATTCTGGGACAGTAAAACGGTATTTCTACGGTGTTATGAAAATATTACCCTGTCCAAGACACACAAAAAAATTATATCGGTCTCTTTTATCTAAATTGTAGAGCCTGTTTAAGACAATTTCGGGTGAAATGTATACCCTGTTTAAGACAGCAAGGCCAAAAACCATACCCTGGCCAGCGGCACGTCCCCGTATAGCAAATATATGGGAGTACCCCCCCCGGGAAAAAACTTTTATTTATGTAATAGGTGTCAGTACTTTTTCTGGATCACGCGAGCTTACAATAAAAAGATAAAGACGTTGGACAGTCTCTGGAAAAAATCGCGCACACTGAAGGTTGTTAATCAAATTTACAATGTATGTAAAAAAGTGTGTAAATTTGATGTAAATGTCAAAATATAACTAACATCATTTACATTATTTGTATATCAATGTGTCAGTTTTTCACTTGTGATAACACATCGCTATAGCTTAAACTATTACAATTTGATACAAGAATGTTTCATAGATAATATAACCTCGATATTACGAGAAAAAATGATTGGCGAAGAGTGAAAAATCTATTCTCTATTTGACCGGTAGCCGGTAGCCGTATTTGAATTATCTCAAAKATCGATCGCTTCTGAAAGGTTCATTGACTTTCTTTCAGGTTTTCATAAACTGTCTATTTTTGGTGAACTCATAGCTGCAGGTGCTGTAAAGAGCACGCTGCATTTGTGAAATATTTCAAGTTGAATGAATATCTGCTGTAATTTTACGCTTTCATGTATCACAAGTAGTCTTTCCAAGAATTTTTAAATTGAAAAGTACACAAAGAACTGCATGTATTTCGTTTTAGGAGTTTCCTTAAATATACTAACTGCTTCGCCTCCAAGAATATCATAAAAATATGTCTTTCTCTAATATTTGAATTCTGGTAAAAATGTATGGAAAAATTCATGCGGTGGCCAACTGTTGACAAAGGGGAAATTCAAAAATTATTGTAAGTGCAAAGACACTAACAATTTGCATTTTCCGCGAGTTGAGGCTAACCCTGTATTCCCATAAGACTTAAACCTTAGGTCTTATGGGAATACAGGGTTAGTCTCAACTCGGGGAAAATGAAAATTTTCTATAGGCTATTGTAATAACAATGTTTTTCCCTCCTCTGTTTGGTGAGGTCTTTGTGTAAGAGAATCTGTTGTCACATAAAGCAGCAGTTTTTYGCTTTGAATTCGAAAATGGAGTATTATATAACATCAGTTTTAGTATAGACAAATGGTAGTAATTCGACATTTACAGAAGGTGAAAACCCATGTATATGATATTATCGGGAAGTACCGAACAAGCCTATGTACGTGAAAAATACAGAAACTTCTGGAGCCTATAGTTGTGACATTAATCCGTATTCCTCTATTTGTGCACTTGTCACTGGAAAAAAAATCGCGCGCTTTAAAGGTTGTAAATTTGATGCAAATATGATGTAAGTGCCCAAAAGTCTGTAATTTTGATGTAAATGATTTCCATTAAATTGAAATTTACAGAATTTTGGACACTTACATCATATTTACATCAAATTTACAACCTTTAAAGCGCGCGGTTTTTCCCAGTGGTACCGATGGAGCCTATAGTTGTAGTAGTTGTGACATTAATCCACATTCCTCTATTTGTGCGCTTATTCTGATAGACTGTCAAATTTGTCTAGCCGCAAATAAATTTCAAGTGTTTTTACCTTAAAAATGGGATTGTTCAGCTTAAGCTTTGATTTTCCTTTCGTCACCGCGATGCAATAACAAATAGAATAGACTGTTCCGATAGTTTCATCTCTTTAAATACAATGATGTGACAACAAATCAAGCGTAGYAACATATCATCTGATCCAATGAGAACAGCTTAAATAGCTTTGTTTTCCCCTGCCCCGGGCAATACCAGGGGAATTAACATTTCAATTAGGGTAAGGACCCGGCATTTCCCAGACAGTGGATGTCTAAAAATGCGGTTAAACAGATCATTTCCTTTTATACATGGGCGTATGTGTAAAATTAAAGTATCTGAGGAAGGCGATTGATCGTCGAAACATGCCAAGGCTAAWGGCTGCTGCCCTTTTTTTAAATCATTTCCTTTTTATTTAGACAAACTGCCAAAGAAGAAAAAGAAGAAGTATGTACGGCATCCGTGTCACTAATACCAATGCAAATGAGCTCAAAACAATAATTTTCGCACCTTATACAATARCATATTAAACAATGCAAACCGTTTATTACGGCAAAAATTAAGTTCGGTGAATAACGATGGCATATTAATATTTTATACTTTTGAAACTAAGTCAAGTGTGAACTTCCTCCTCGACGATTTCAGCAGTTACTTATTAACCTTTCAAGGAAAAAAACCTACATAGGGTCTATACCTTTCGCTTACGGCGGGGAACGCATGCACACTAGCTGGCTATGGGGTCTTAAAAAAGTTATTAGATACTTTTTTATCGTTAGAAGCATCCACGCGTTTGAATTGTCGCAATAAACCTCGCAAACAATGGTTAATTGGCTTTTTTGGTACATGTGGAATTATTTATTTATGGTGACTTCATAACTGGTGCTGTAAAGATCACGCAGAATTTGTGAAATATTTGAAATTGAGTCAACTAACTGTAATTTTACGTTTCTGCTTGCCAAGAGTCAAAGTTCGTGCCAGTTATCGTGAAAAAAAAAGTTGAAGCTTCTTTCTTTCTTTCTTTCTTTCTTTTCCTTTTCTTTTCTTTTCTTTTCTTTTCTTTTTTTTTGTGTGTGGTTCTCGATTATTCTTGCGAGAGGACAAAAAAGCCTTCCCAGCGAATTGCGCTTTTGTGGGTGTCGAGAAAATCGGAAGATTTTTTGCACAGGACCAGACAGTTTCTATCCACTTTCTTCCCAGAAGATATAAGATATAAGATATAAGATATAACAAGATATCTTGCTGCGCTGATCTAAAGAAGTTCCAGGTACATCTCATTTGCTGGTATCCTAAATTCCACTAACTTTGGTTTAGGCCCAGTTTGAATTCTACTTGGAAAARGCAAGTGCCCGGTCCGCAGCGAATTTTTAGGGCGCTCATTCATGAACACCCTAGCTAAAGATCGATAAAAAAGTATAAATACGAAAATAATGATTAATGATAGTATGTAATGGAAAGAGTGTAATTGAGCTATATATATCATTATATTATATTAAATAAATAGCAACTTTTGAACCATTTCAATCGAAAAGCGTTAGCACATCAAGTCACCTGTTGACCCACCAGAAGCAGTGACTTTGTTCTTGTGATCTTATGATGTTCAGGTCCTGAACACGGCGAGATAGGCTCACAAATCATCGATGAATAGGTACATACTTTAGAACTAAGCCGTTGTCTTGTATGGTAATGAGAAGAGTAATTAGTCTAATAACCGTGATAGCCGGTAGCTTCTTTGGTTAATTTAATTAAAACACGATGGAGTTCCTGACAAATTCAGCTTGAACAGTAATGATCCTGACGTTTACAGAACTGTCGGCTATTATATCTACATGTCTTTTTAAAAAACAGAATATTGAGGTATAGACTTTTTGAAGTGATCCCCAATGTCTAAAAGTATGATTCTTTGATCCCAAAATAATCGAATAAAAGTTTTGTTTCMTGTTTCCTGGACAACGTTTGTGATCGGTGATTCACAGTGGACATTGGTGCCAATTTAAATCTAAACATCTGATCCCTAAGCAGAAACAAATTACGAAAATGTTATCCCATGATTTCTAAAAAAGTAAAGAGAAATTTTGATTGAAAGTGACGTGTTCTTGCTCCCAATACAGTTTTTTCCACAGTTGTAAAAATTCTCTGAAATTTTCTGATTGTTTGAGGGCCATGGTAAATGAAAGTATATACCACTCAATTTTTTTGCTGAGATTCACAGAATTTTGAATCACATTTTTACTAGCCTTTTTTCTTCAACGGTCTTCAGCTTATACGATATCAACAAAAACTAGTTTGAATGCTTGATGCTTTTTTTAATGGTTAACAATCCCATCAYCGTTACATATTTCCCTAATACCCTATCCTTTGAATGTGATTTTAAGGTGTCGAGTACATCCGATTTCAGTTTGAGGAYTTTGTTGTAAAAGACCAAACATCTCCTTTGTAGATTTCCTCTTGAGAAACCTCGGCATCCACTCTCCAGAAGTATTGTGTCGACTGCTGAAGACTTTCCTTCAGGTAGTACACGTTGCCGTCGTTCGCAATCTTCGCCTTGTATTCGRGTGATTCCGTTGTCGCTTCGGAAACCTTCGTAAAGTCGTCGCCAAAGTAGACATGATGAACATGTGCACCGAGTGCGTTCAGCCACATCAGTGCGTCCCGGCTTTTCTTTACTGTAACACTGGAATCTGGGGGGACAGGTGTACTGGTTTTGTAAAGCTGTCTTCCTGGAATCCAGTAAGTGGCACCTTCAGAGTTGTACGAGTATGGACCAACACTGTTAGGGATATATTTGGATCCGGGCTTCGGACGGAAGTCGTAATTGTCCGCGTCTACAACTTGTTGCCGAATGCTTCCAACGACGTTGTTTTTTATCACTTTACCGGCCAAGGGAAAGGTCACTTTCTTATGTTTGCCGCCGTTTGCTGTGGAGGCCGCGTTGGCGATAACAATCGAGTTGTTATTGATGGGCACAGGGTTGGATCGCACGTATTTCAGCACACATAGGGTACAGCCAGTCTCCTGCTTATCTCCGCCCTACAATCACATAGGTCGTCATTAATATCCAATKAATAGATTATGAAGGTTTACAACACCGCCGGTATCACTGGAAAAAAACKCGCGCTTTAAAGGTTGTAAATKTGATGTATATATGATGTAAGTGTCCAAAATGATGTAAATTTGATGTAAATGATTTCCATCAAATTTACATCATTTTGGACATTTACAACATATTTCCATCAAATTTACAACCTTTATGGTGCGCGATTTTTTCCAGTGTATTTGGTTGGCTAAATGCAGAGTAAAACGGAAATAACAGGGACAATAACAATGTTGTTCTAGCCAACCAATCACCATGTCTTTTAGAGAGAGACCCAGGAGACTACAGGTAATCACAACAGCTTTCATCTTGGATTAGCCTAGTATTATAGAATAGTAAATGTTATTTTTTACCTTTCCGTTGTTCTTATCAAAAGCTAAATTGTTCTTCACTGTATGGTAATCCCCTTTAATCATCAAACCGTTCATCTTCCAAGCCACGTTGCTGTCCATTGTTCCATGTTGACCAATCTTTGGAGGTTCGCCATCGAAGCGTAACCCATACTTCGGACTGCCGTGCACCCAGTTCTGTTTGAACAGTGCATTGGTTTGGCCTTTAATTTGTGTTTGAACATGGCTCCCATCGTTTTGAATCATTCCCCAGCATTGGTGGTGAAAATGATTCAGTTGTACCAGTGGTCGAGGGAGGGATATGCGATAACCAGCACTTGCACCATTGTAGCTCAATGTATTCCTTATGAATCTATAAAGATGTATTGTATATATGAAGCATATATGGGAGACAATTGGAAAGGTTGTGGTTGGAGATTTTTAATTATAGAAATCAGCAGTTCAAAATGGGCCTTATTTGTAAGTATAGTGATTGAMCATCTTACTTCACGTCACTAAATGGGTTTTCGAAAGGCCACTCTTGAATTCGCAAGCCTCAAATATATATGATATGCAGCTTTTGGAGAATAAATGAGTGAGCGCTTGATTAAGGATAACTGCTGAATTAAGGTTCGTTTGATCAAGGTTTGACTGTACATACCTGTCTCCCTCTCCTTTGGACACAACAGTCCCAAAGCCACCAGTTGCCGTTGTCATCATTGCTCCAGTCCAATCATTTCTCGCAAAGAGGTTATTCTCTAAAGTTGCATTCATACTTGCATACTCCAAAGCCGCACCGTCCGTGCCATAGAAGGTGCAATTGAACATTGTGAATGGTCTTGCAGGCCTCCATCTATACTTTGCATTGATCTTGGTCCACTCAGGTGGCAAAGGGGAGCCAAGCATTCGCTTCGAATACGAAGGGAAGCTRAAATTTACTGACAAGAATTGCAGGTTATCAATGACTTTTGTTGGAGAAGTGCTCTCTGCTTTGAGGGTGGTTGCAAAGAATGTCATGTTGGCGAAGACGATGTTGCTGCTGTCAGTTATGTGAAAGGCGTAGGTCTGAGTCTTTCCACGAAGAASATGTTTGGATGGATGGCGTCCATCGTAGTTCCATACATATAACTCCCGAGTGTTTTTATCGTAAAACCACTCGCCTGCCTGGTCTAAAAGATCTAACTTGTCYTCCAAGAAGTACTGGTTCAGCCYTGGCTTGAAGTGGTGATTTCCAAATGTGTTGTTGTACGTGAAGAAATTCTGCCCAGGACTGTGACTGAGGACTTTGGCCACAAATGTATTAAAACTGCCAATGTTCAAAATTGCCATTGCATCAGCTGCATTGATTCCACTGCCKGCAAGGTCTTTATCGCCGTTATCGACCATTTTATCTCTGGTGGAAGTCAAGGCAGACTTTCCCCAGTAGGAGTTATTAAAAACRGTGAAATCCGACCAAAGTGCGTTTGGCCAGCGGGCGTTGGTCATCATGACGTCATCGACAAAGAGTTGCCAGATGTCTTCTTGTATAACGCCTTTGAAAATACGATTATTTGGGGACGATCTGTAGAACTTCCAGGTTGTTTTCAAGAGAACGGTTCCGTCAATGATTGGCTGCTCGTTTTCATAGCCAGCGATGATGATTGGACGATCTTTAGTACCGTGTTTTCCAGAAATGGTGACGTCTTCGTGGTATCGACCTATAACATAATTGTATAAGAGCAGCGAAGGCACTTAAATGGCGAATCAAATCAGCATAAGTCACAATAAAACTCAATAGTCTTCTTCACGGCTACCTGCGCCATCTTGAAAGGTAGCCGTGCCTTTGCATCGAAGCGAGACGACCGTTGATCGTGCAATGATAGAAACCTTCTTTCACACCTACAGACAATTATTCACAGGTTTCTATCATTGCACGCTCAACGGTTGTCTCGCTTCCATGTAAAGGCACGGCTACCTTTAAAGATGGCGCAGGTAACCGTGAAGGAGACTATTTAAGTACAAAAGTATAACATAATTTGCTGTATACGCGAAAATACTACCCTTTCTTATRCGACACTCGTCCCCAGGGTCTTTAACAGCGTCAATGCACTCCTGGATGGTAGTAAATGGGGTTGTGATTGAATCACCGGTATTTCCTTCTTTGCCATTTTTCTGATCAACGTAGAACACTTTGGAAGTGACTGACGTCGCTAGGCACATAATAAGAATGACTTGAACCAAAGCCATTATCTTTTCTGAAAAAAAAAAAAAATCAATACACATTGTTGCCCAATTGTTCGATTGTCCGCACCATCTCAGGTTTTTACCTCTCGATGCAATAAAAGCTCCCTTTTGCAAAAATTGCTATGACGTTATCGCTGGCCGATACTGCATTGAAATATTTTAAGSTCATTTATTTCATATTTTTGGAAAGATCGCGTAAGATCGATTAGGTTATTTGGGGAGCGAAGGTTGAAACTGGCACTGTCGCGTGTATCGATCGTTCATTGACCTGGAGGTTTGCCGACGAACGGGATTTGCAYRATCTTGTCGATGATATCACGCAGTTTTTGAAGATAATTTCGTAGCTAAACTAAGCATTTTTAACCTACCAATTCCAAGCAGGCGAAACATTATTGAAACTAGAACTAACCTTTGCAAACACTTGAGCACTCGACGAGATGAAGTCGTGCAAGAAAGTGACAAAATAAGGCGACTTAGTCTTGATGATATATCATTTCAATATTAAACTAATGTAAACATCTTTCATATTTTTGTCAAAGTGCATTGTTTTCTAAGACAATAGGCAGGCTTATCTCAAATGGGGGAGACGGGGGGGGACGGGGGGGGGATCACTCCGAATCGGTTTTGCTTGGAACCGTTTGTCTTCTGGGTGACACTCGCACCTCGGCAAAACGCCATCAGTCTTTAGCATTTTTGGGAAATGGACAAGCATTATTGTCTGAAATTGTGATCAAGGAGATCCACTTCATACATGGTACGTCGATTGTCTCAATAGCTTCTATCGATGATAGAAATGAGTAGACCCCCGTCCTCAGGTTCATCAGCTTTGCAATACAATTTAGCAAAGATCAACACACCAGGTACCAATGTTTCAATAGATGCAATTGTCGTCTGTTCTTACAAAAAGATCGATTTGATATATGTAAAAAGCTGTTGAAACATTAKACTACTAGTCTAATCTTTAATTCAGTAGAGTGCTCGCACTAAATGCGTGAAATATAAATACTACAAAATAGTTGATAAATTATACAAATTCCTTTGTTTCCTATTGTATAATCAACACTATTTAGTRGTATTACTAACTAGTWCTATTTGTTTCACGCTTTAAGTGCAAGCAATCTAATAGCGTGAAACACTATTTAATTGCGCAAAACAGTTCTAGTCGATGAACAAAAAAAAAACAAAACAAAACAAAAGAATGAGCATGAAAAAGTGCAAAAAAGTATTACTAATGTTTCACGCCTTAACTGAAAGTGTTCTACCCACTCGCGCTGTATAAATTTGATCTGATAGATTTTATCAAAATCATATAAATACAAATTGTTGTTCAATACCCTGGTGACACCGATGCTATGAATAATGTTATTCGATTCCAATATTCTGATATTTTTTCATGTTAATTGCATGATGATCGATATGGATTTTATTATATTGACAACATGACAAGTTCACTACTAGCTGATTTCTCTATTYGTCTTCAATATTCCATACAAAAGACTGATTCTATATGTCGTATCATCTTCATAGTTATCAAAAGCAGCACAATAGATATCACACATAAAATAAATAATCTGCACAGCTGGTTTCAGAATTTGTTTCCGTTTAATCCGTGAGCGACGGCATAAACAGCACAAAATAGTACTAAAATGTGCTACAGTAAAAACYCGCGTATAACAACACCTATTTTGGYGTTTCAGGCTGATTTGGTTGAAGTGTTATAATCTGCAAAATTAGCCTCCAAGTGTTCTTAGTGTTCTTAAAAAAAGTTTCTTGAAAAAAGGAACATACTTGGCTGCCAATAGGTGAAATCAATCTACATGCGCACAATTTTAATTAATCAATACAATGATGTAACTATTTTAAWTAAAAAAMATTGATAAATGAATGTGTGCTGATCTCTGATATGTTTCCATATAAGAACAACTTTCATTTTTCAGTCTGAATGTGTTTTTATATAAATGGTACTTTATATGTGATATCAAAGAGGCACTGGATTTTGCTGTTACTCCGAGTTTCGTGCTACGCACTCATCAGACAGTATAGACTTTATTATTTCCTAAAATCAGGCCTTGGGTTTTTACTGTATTCTTTTCTATTGTCTAATGATCACTAATTAGTCTAGTGACTAGTAATATTCGATTAACGAAACCAAAAGACACCGAAAAAGATGAGAATGCACATTCAAATCAAACTTTATTTTTTTTRATTTTTTAGCMTCATTTTACAACGGCTTGTATACAATATTTTTAATCAGCTTCTCTATATATTATATTTCGCGGGTCACTCTTCCAGTAAAGACTTTTATCCAGTGAAAATAACAGAGATAAGTTCTACAGTTGTGTTACTTTTTCATATACAACATCAATATTTGAATCGTTAAGTAATTATGATATATACCTCTACGAACCAATAGTTATAATTGRAAAGCATWRTGGAATATTGATGAGTYCTCGCACTATTTTAGKWCAAAAAAGTTGAACCTTTACGGAMCGTTTTTCAAAATTAYTGACTGTAAGTTTTTCAATTTCTTTTAAATTCAAATGACTTCTCAGGAAAAGCGCTGGTCGATTGGTGGGGGTGTCATTAACCTCRACAAAATCGATTTTTTTATTTACAGAAACGTTTTAGTTGCAAAAATGAAACATACACATAAGTACGAAGATCGAATAACCCATCATGCTTTGCTCTATGAAAATTATAGTGTGGCTGCATGCTTCATATTTTACATAGAAATCACGTRACCTCTGGAATAAACTACAAAAGTGCCGCAAAGCATGGAGGTAGCGATTCCATTTGACTCAAAGCTCAGCTGTTACATTAAATGCTTTTTTGTCATATGTTTATTTTTGTTCTTTCCTTTGACTTAGAAAGAAAACCATGCGACCAGGTATCCAAGAACGAGGAGAGTAGACTGGGCAGAATACATCATAGCGTTGGCTCCTATTGGACAGAATGATATTGAAGTCAGTTCAAACTAATGATTATACTAAGATCCTAAGTTGTCAACATTCGCATAATGTGTGATGAGGCTCCCCTGACCTACCATAAGTGGGCGAGAAAGGCGGGAGGGGGATATTGGTAATAATTTGTGAAGCATAATGGTTAGCCACTTTTTTTAAAATTTAAGATTCACTGTTACATGTAAATCAAAGCTTGTACATTAAAGCTTGTACATTAAATTTTGTACATTAAAGCTCTGYRCATTAAAGCACGCAAACTATCAACCAATTTCCGAGATGAATACAAAGAGCTGAGCGATCTATTATTTTAACATTTTTCTATAATTAACTCCATCATAATAGCACAATAGGCTTTTGTACTTTTATTACTCTCAAGATTAACTGTTACATGGAACTGCATATGACTTGTCAGTAAAGGTGAGGTCGGCAAGACCCCGAAAACATCGAACAACTACCTATTTCAGCCAATCAAAAAATAGTTTTAKGAGTTGTATACGTACCAGGACTTGGCTTTTCTCCATCACCTAAAAAAAAAATGAACAGAAAGTAGTCAACAAGAATGTCAACAAAAAACTATAAATGAATAGACTTCTGAACCTCTGACGTCACTATTTGATTTGAAATGCATTGTGGGATCTGTCTAGAGAAAACAAGGAAATCCAAAACATATCCTACAATGCATTGCGTGTACAGTACATGACAGAAGAGGCTTTAGAGGTCTGTTAAATAGCGAAAAATAGAATATTTTGATTACCAGAAGTTGGCACAACGGTTTGGTTTCCATCAGAAGCTGCACGAATGAAGATAAAAAGATAAGATAAAAAAAGAGAGATTAACGAATATTTTTTTAATTTGTATGCACCAATATCTCCATTCAAAGAGCATAGAGGGATAATAAAGAGGAAGGTTTGTCTTATATTACGAAGTAATTTTACTTTCAAACATAAACAAAAAGATGGGATGCTAGTAAACCATGCCATTAATTTATACGTAATACGATAATAATACTCCATTTTCGAATTCAAAGCGAATAACCGCTAATTTATTTGAGAGTACATTCTCTCACGCAAAGAACTTACCAAACACAAAAGAAAGCAGGAGAAAATGTTGTAAGCACAATAGCGCTAAAACAATTTACATTTTCCCCGAGTTGAGGCTAACCCTTTATTCCCAGAAGGCTCATACCTTAGGTCTTATGGAAATACAGGGTTAGTCTCAACTCGAGGAAAATGCCAATTTTCTGCGTGCTCTCTTTTGTGTTTTGTCAGCTCTTTGCGCAAGACAAATCTGTTGACAAAAGAAAGCAGCGGTTTTTCGATATGAATTCGAAACTGGCGTATTCATAAACTAAATGGATACAGTATTTTAATTACCAGAAGTCGGCAAAACTGTTGTTTCAGCTGCAAATAGGAAGATAMAAAAGAAATGTTCAAGAATAAATATTCAACAAAATYTACCATACTGGATGGCAAAACTACATGCATAKTGAGAACAAAAACAATCTATGCAATAAAATCCTGAAGATGACGACCAAGATGGCGTCGAAACGTCGAAAACAAACCAACATCAGTGTCAGAGAGCTCAATGAGAGAACAAAACAATAATACAGCTTTTCAGTTGCACTTAGACCTCGATAGCAAGTTAACTTTTCTTTTGAATTTGACAAATGAGACTATTCATATCAATGTTTGCATTGCTCACATTCCTACAAATTCAAAAGAATATTTAACGTGCTGTCGAGGTCTAAGAGCAACTGAAAAGGTGTATTACACTAAACTCACTAATAAGGGTTTCAGATCTACAAAAAACAATCTACTTTTTTAACTCAGGTTTAATTTACAAACATATATATTATTATTTGCCATCCAATATAGCGGACTTTCTACTACGTGACCAATTGATGCTAAAGACCTATGAWGGCTTTTCTCTCGTATGCACCTCGTTCTTCAAGCTATAATTACTTACTGACAGACAGAAGGAAAAGATGTTGTCCTGAACCAATGGTGCCATTAACATGACAGGCGTATCCACCACTGTCACTTGATTCAAGGTTGCTGATTACCAGTGAGTAGCGACAGAATGAGCATGCTCTTTTARCCRTRTACCGCTGRCTCAACTCTGCAACGATAGTAGAAGGCATGTTTATTAAAAAAGTGGATGTTTTTAGGCTCACAGTATGAAATTATCTGGGTTTGACWTCCATATTYTTACTTTTCACTATACTTCACTGCGGCCATCTTGGAGGAACTTTAACTCAAAGGATTTCTCGTTAGTATTTMTTGTTTATACCTCCAACATGGCCGTCGGTMTTTTATTCTTTTGAATCTCATGGGGATGGCTGAAACGATCAATAAAGATTGCTTTGTACGCAYACTTACTAAGTTGGACTGTCTCCCCATCTTTATTCACTTTCCACCATGTCACATTCATCGGATAGCCATCAGCAGGACATTCCATCTTCACACTGCCAGATACTGCACCTTCCAACGTTGTTACGTTTCTTGCCATCTTGAGCTTGACTAAAGAAAGGAGCATACAAGCATTACTGATGAATAAAACACAAATTAAAAAAACAAATKAGGGTGCGATGATGATTCTGACCACTGCTGCGTTATAGGGAGCAAGGATGGTCAATTCCCGGTCTATTTGGATTTGACTTTGTAGGCTGTWTTTTGCGAAAAGGTTTTTCCAGGTACGCTGGTGTTCCTCCATCAATCAAAACCTAGCTGTGAGGAATGACGTAGTGAGACCCTGCCGTCACAAGTAAATTGATGAGTTAAACTTACTGTTTAAAGTCGCTGTCCCAAAGGTAATGTTTCTTGCAATGTACCTCCTAAATTTGATCAGTCCAGTACAAACATATGATCCAGCGTCCTTAACCGTTGCATTGGTAATTGTCAAGGGCTCGATAGTTTCAGAATTCAATGTCCKTGCTACAACTTCAGAATTTTTAACCCACGACAACTGCTCTATTATATTTGCAAAATTTGGGTTTGTKACGTCACAGGTAAGGTTGGCAGATCCACCGTAGGTTGCTGTGGCACCTTTAACGATAGCTGTTGGCATCTCACTATCTACAACCAAAAGGACAATAAGATGGATGATCATGCAGGTAAACTAGAGTTTTAACTTGATTTTCAAAAACGAGTTTTCAAGGGAGATCTAAAGGATTGAATATCAGACCGACAATATAGTCCTAATAGGCTGGCGCGTTACCATGTACGTTACCATCCAATTCAAATCCTGAGGCAAAAAGAACTTTTGTTTCTAAGAATTCAACTGTGAAATGAAAATAGACCACAACGAAGAACAATGAAACTTACTCCCGGGTATAGTCTGAATAATCCAGTTTCGAATTCTCCAATGCTCTGTGTTCGCCTCATTTGTGCGCAAAATATTCTTAATTGTGAGAATAAAAGTGTGAGATTTCAAATAAATTATTATTTTTTTTGTCAAATTCCATGCGTTTTCTCGGGCTATCAACGAGACAAAAGAATTTGTTGCTTGGTTTTGAGGCTAACACAGAGCAAACCAGAACTCGAAATCGGAGTATTGGTTAGTTACGAGCGTTATGCCGATTAGGTCTATTACCAAAAACTAATACAAATGGAAAGTGAGTGGTACGAATAAGGAATTACTGTTTTTGGGTGATATACTTAAAGGCATCGTGCATCTAAGARCATTTGCGATCTTTTGTTGATCTATTGGTAAAATGCCTTTCTGCTATACAAATCAATGAACAACTTTTATTTTTTCCATTCTCCCAATAGGATGCAAACAGGTAAAGCTATATAATCTTGATTACATAATACTGTTAAAGCTCAAACTTAGTTGTTAAATCTGCCTACTCGCTTCGCTCGCAGGAACAAATCTTCATATTRGTCTAAATTTTAAATTTAAGGATTTACCTTTTATGACTGAGATTGAAAAACCGTGGTTTGTAGTTTTCCCGGATGAGCTCCCCTTACACTCATAACTCCCATGATTCGAGTCGTCATTAGCCACTACGTTGGTTATATGAAGAGTTTTAAACAACTTTTTGCCGCTCTCTATAAAATGTTATAACAAAACTAAATAACATGGAATATAACAAGGCAAGAAGAGGCGGGTTCTCTGCAATGATAGTAGCGTACTATCGCGTCACGCGGTCGACTCTCGACCAATGAGATTCAATTTGTTGTTGAATAAGATCCAATAGTAGAAACTCGAGAATTTTTTTGGTGTCTCAGTAATAAAATGAGATCGTTTATATATAAGATTAGTTGCTTGTGATTATTTTAAAACTACGTCACAGCAATACGTTAATCAGAGATTTCTGCGGACAAGATTTCTGAAGAAGGGGCAGAGAATATTTAAGTTACGTCATCTAACCTTCAGCTCTGCTCTCGTAGTAAATTCGTCCACCTTTTCCTCCATCAGGTATTGGCGTTTCGTCACCGAATTCGTTTTTCCTGATGAATGTAAKGCTGTTAGGCTTTGCTCCAGTGGTGTCGAYAACAACACACGTCACTTCCGCCGTTTGATTTTCGAAAGGGAATATGTTTTTGGGATAGGGCTGGACAATCTGAGGCTCTCCTATGGAACAAGAAAAAAATGTCTTTGAACGGGAGATAAAAGTCAATCTATTTTGGCTTTCACAATTATACACAAATAGTTTATAAAACGGAATCCGCCACTGCACCTTTAAGTTTCTTTAACTYATGCATTTAATACTGAATTTTGAAATATTATTGATAGCTTCAAAACTATCAAAATGTTAACATTGTATCTCTCAGCTTGAAACTATTTSCTATTTATTCTTATTTGTGGTATTTCCATTTTTTTCGCCCGATCYATCGGGTATTCCAGCTATCGTAGTGTTGCAATAATTATTTTCTTTTATCCTCTTTGGCTTTTAGTCTAATGTCCATTATTTTTGATAGGGGGAGGGAAGGGAAAAGGAAAAAAAAATGAAAAAATATAAGATGCTTGCATGACCGGAAGATGATGGAATCAGCATTTTGAAACAGTTACCGAATAGAAAGGTCATCTCGAAACAAAAGCCGGCTGTCATTAATGACAATGCACAAAAGAATTGTAGGCGAGCTTCCGGGGGCTTAAAAGAATAAATTAAGATTATTCATTGCTTGTCTCCCGGAGTCTCTTCTTTTGTATAGCAGTTAGTCAACCAAAATATCTTGTTTCGATTTTTGTGTGATTATCTCTTATCATTTTATAGCCTCTATCTACCAAAGATGATGACATTRCGATATAAATGTTTTTGCATATAATAATCACATTTGAAGTGCTGATGAAGCATTTTCTTAGACTAAAAACAGTCATGTATGGAGTAGTATATCTCCCCAGGTTAGCTTTCCGGCATAATGCAGATAATTTTTCTTTCCCCCAGAGACAATGAAATGATAATTGTACACACAGGTTATTTCAAATGTTCACGACGCAATGTGTCTCAGATTGAAAATAATTGTCAAGGTATATGGAGTAGTATGTCTCCCCCGKTTAGCGCCATCAATAAGATCGTCCATATGCAGATAATTTTGGTTTTCCCCAAGGACGTCATTGCAATGAAACTATAATAATACGGAGGTTACATAACAAAAAAGTTATTTGAGGTCAACTGGRTATGGCGTATTTCGTCTACATCTGCATATTTGGCTGTATAACCTWTAGCTGTAGTTATATTTAGCTTTTATGTAACATTTTCGCTCATGACAAAATGTTTTATCATTTAGAGAAGCAGACAAAGTAGCTTTTGTGAATGGAATCATGTCTAGGCAAGTTAATTTCGCCTGTTGTGACAACGATGAGTGATTTCTCTATAAAAACACTTGAAAGTCTCATAAGATCGAAAGAAAGGCATGCGAATTACATGTGGACCGTCACAGACAAACAAAGGCCACAATTAGTCACACAAATCTTATTTAAATCGTCAACAACATTTAAGAATACAGGCAAGGATCTAAAATAGCAATCTTAGTTTGGCTTTCATTTTAGAATCTACTGAGTGATGCAAACATGAAGTTTACTGTATAAAATAGAACGCGACGTTGAATAATATTAGTCTATATGACGAACGTTTTTTGTGCATGGTCTATTTACTCTACAAACGTCTATGTTGCTATAATATATGAATGTACATGAATAATTTTCGCATACATTTTTCTACATCAGTTACTTCAATGTATAAAATCGATTTTTAAGTGTCCACATAAATTCTATTACGACAAAAAATTACTGCATTTAGCAATTTAGCTCGAAATAGGAGGCAACTCGCTTCGAAACTCGCTGGCTAGAGACGAACAAAACACAGCTTACATCTGCCACAGTTTTTAGTTATTATAACGACAAAACAATTGCAGACTTTGMAGTGAGTTTACCTTGAACGACAGAAGAGAATACGCCGGCTAAAGCAAAAACAACAAACAGCGATGATGAAGCCATTTTCATTTTTTTTGGCACGAACGTGCAGGCCCAACTGGAGATTTGCATAAGAATTCATTACCAGGTCCTCTGGGGAGATGTGCGTCATCAATACTCGGGCAGGTACCATGCTTCAGGCTTTATCCAAATCAATGGTAGATATCATACAATTAAGGGTCGATCCATTAGAATTTTGAGTTTCAAAATTCTAATGGATCTCTTCCCTAAAGATGTTATTTCGAACGTAACCGGCAAGTTTAGGATGAAACAATTTTTCAGTTTTTATCAAATGAACAAAATAACTGTGACAGAAGTGTCAAAATATATGTCTTAGAATACAAAAACATTCTGTAAATTTGATGTAAATGATTTCCATTAAATTTACAGAATTTTGGACACTTATACATCACATTTACACCAAATGTACAATCTTTAAAGCGCGCGATATTTTCCAGTGAAACTACACGTTATAGACCGGAGCAGTTAGGTGAGGGTCTCAATGGGGTGGTACGCATCACGACTCACGGCTAGAAATTTGGCTATTTCACGACTCACGACTAATTTTTTCGAATCACGGTTAATTAGATTACTTTTAGAAATTTTTGAATTACGTTTTTCATTGCTTTTTCTTTTTTCGAATAGACTGCGTGACTTATTTGTACGGACATGGATTTTTCTATTTCAAATAAGCCGAAATGCGACTATTTCCACGAAAAAATGATTAATCATAAATTCATAACACACACAAAAAAAAAATCCAAAAGTGTTAAAGTGCACATGACACCTTTTAGAAAAACACTTTTATCCGAAAGGTAGCATGCTGACAAGCATTTCTGTAAAGGAAGAAATTGGTTTTGAATAGTATATTCTGAGTTATAGACATTTGAAAATTGAAAATGCAAATGAAGTGACGTCAACTAAGGAATTGGTCCAGACTTTTCACATTGTTTGCGCTATGCTGTTCGGGTTGAAGAGCTCAAGTCATTAACCATAGTAATAATTGAGAGCTGAAAATGCTTTTTCCAGTGTAACAAAAAGAATAACGTCCTCTTTCATGATTTTGTATATTAAATCATTCCTTAGTAGACGTCACTTAATTTGCATTTTCTAAGTTTCAATTGCCCATAACTTAGAAAATACAATTTAAAATCAATTTGTTTCTTCACAGAAGTACTTAGCAGCATTTTCTCTTTTGGATGAGAATGAATTTCTAATGGTGTCATGTGCACTTTAA